TGTGCCTATCGATCCAGTTCTGTTTCTGTTTGCATGTATTACTCGACGCAATCGTTTGACCAATAAAGAACAAGAAACCTAACACAGCAGAATAACCTAGCTAGCGTAACAATGAAGTGAAAGTAAGCTGAATAAAAGCCATAACGAGCAGTCACAAACTAAACGCACAGAGAGTGTGTTACTAGAAACCTGAAGCCGACAGCCATACGCATGAGCCCAATGGTGAATGAACCGAACCTAGTAGGCCTGGATGAATAAGCAAGCAGCTTAATACGCCATCACTTCAACGGTGCTGTGTCGCTTTTTAGCATCAGCCAACAACATTTATCAGCAGCAGAAGTGAATAACAACAATAACAACAGCGAAGAAGGATTAACGGGAGAATGAAGTCTGTCTTCGCCTTCTCTGTGTTCTGTTCTCGATGAAGCTATTAGCTGAAATTGAAAAAAATTCGAATATTTATATGTATCCATGTTCGCGTTTCGTTATGTACGTATTCGGAGACTTTTATTAGAATATTCTTTTCTTCGATTTTCTTTGGTTCGGCTCGAATGTCGTCTCTCTGATATCGCATTATATTGCATCTCCGATAACGAATCATCAATACGTTTANCAATTTTCATCGAAATTTTCATCACCTGTATCATTAGTAATCCTAACGATAGCAACGAACTCGCGAAAGTCCACAATAAATGACTGCTCTAGAGTAATCTTAATCCTAGCTTTTAATCTTATTATGGGTTTTATTCGTTTTCAGATCGATGACTCGAATGGAATTATTATTATTACTTTATCTCTGTTGAATTAGTTCTTATTGCTAGCCGCCGTATTATCGCTCGTCAGTATCAGTATTCTTATTATTCACATCGAATCGTCATAAAAAACTATTCAACACTCTGAAGTTGGTGTGAATCACCTCTGAATAATGGAATCTGGTGAACGTATCGTGAAATTATTCGGTCGAGAGTATGGTCGAGAGGCGTTCGTCTCAAGATTGTTCTACTTGTGTTTCTTTGCCTCATTCGGTTCATTGTTCCCGTTATTGGGAATCTATTTCAAACAGCTGGGCATGAACGCTGCCCAGGCTGGTTTTTTGCTGGGCGCAAGGCCATTAGTGGAATTCGCATCGAGTCCTTTCTGGGGCAGTTTCGCGGATCGTTTCAAGAAGGTATCGTCGAATTCATTGATTTCCTCCCAAATCCTTATTTCATACTATGTTCCAATTCGTTAAATGCTACAATTATTCACTAACAAGGCTATATCTCTTTCACAAATCATTGTTCCTATCATCATCGTAATTAGAATTGTACCAATAATAGGGCTGATTAGAGTTGAAATATTATCATTGCTAATATCATTTGTATCTTTCTCACAAATTATTTCACCCGCAATGTGCTCTGACGATTACGAATTGTAGAGAGATCTGTTGCCGATTGCATTGAAAAGTTTCCATTCGGCAAGCTCTCGTGCATATTCCATGTTTCTACTGAAGCAATTTTGATGAACAACCTAAAATTTCTGATTATTTCACT